GCATGCCAATATGCATTGGCTCGTTTAGTTTACACTCGAAGTAGATTGGTCTCTCTAAGCGAGATCCCAATTCGTCGGTCATCCGACGTGACGTCGAGAGTGACCGACTGAAAGGGAACTATATAAAACAAATACAAATCAAAACAAAAACTAAACTTTAACAAAAATATAAACAAATTCAAACTATTAATAAAACTATAATAGCATCTCAATGATACTAAAATAACGCTTATGCATACATACAATTCTACTTCACACAAAATATGATTAATAATATTGTTTATTATATTCTTTATAATTAATAAAAAATTTTTTTTTATAAATAATATTTTAGTCTATATCAGAATACTTATTACGCTTATAGATACACTTAAATATATGAACTGAACCAGTTATGTAGGCAAATAAAGTCATTTTAAATAATAAAGCTAAAACCGTTTGTCAAGGTGTTCCGGTGACAAAAACTTAAAGGCTGCATTTATTGGATCTAAAATACAGTAAAACAGTATCATTGTGAAATATTATTACAATTTAAAATCAGTGTTTACGATTTAAAATGGTGTATATTCTTGATCAAAACTGAATTTTCAGCATCATTACTATAATAATATATAATAATATGCTGATTTGCTGATTTCTGATTATTATCAATGTTGATAATCAATGTCGCTGGTAAAGTGAATACAAATTCAAGAGAATAAAGTTGAGGATTGTTACACTTTTAGGCATTTTCTCAGCTGGTTTGTAGCATAAAATCACCATACAATGAGATGCAGAGAGCTAGCAATGGTCTGTATTGTGCTGAATGTGGGGTTTGCTCACCGCGGGCAGCAGATGCAGCAGAGCGTCGCCCGTCAGAGATCCCACAGCCAGACTGATGCAGAACTGGATGCAGAGCTCGAACACTTGCGTACATGCGGAGAACAGCAGCACCACGATCCTAAACATGGCCATCAGACAGATGAGGAGGTTGGCCAGTGTGGCGCATCCATATCCTGAACACAAAGAGCTCATTCAGTGACTGTACATACACAAGAACACATACAGAGGAATGAAGCATTCATTCACACTGAGCTTTATAATGGGTAATCAAAACTGAATCAGGTTTGTTACGAGAAAACGATTTCGCTGGATGTTTTTTTTTTTCTTTCCTTGGTTTCAAACAGTAAAACCATGCATTGTAATAATGCATAATAATATTGTTAAATAAAAAAGTGACTTATTTTAGCAATAAAATCAGTATTTTTCATTTAAAAAGATTAAATGGAGAACATTACTGTATGAGTTTATATTGAGATATTTGGTTTGAGAAACTGTTGAGATCTGTTATGAAACTACATAATGTCTATATGCGTAAATTTCTTAAAGGGGTCCTATTATGCTCTTTTACAAAGTCTTGAATTTGTTTTCGGGGTGTACTAGAACATGCTCTCATGCTTGGTGGTTCGAAAAACGCATTATTTTTCACATAATTTACATTATTAAAATTCCTTTCTCCCCAGCCTGGCACAAACGGCTCGATTAGTTCCGGCTTTGATGAAGGTCCGCCTTCCGAAAAACAAAATGTGTTGTGATTGGTGATTGGAACAGCTTAGACGGTGTTTCAGTACTGCCACCACGCCCCTTGCTCCGTCTTTCAACAAAAGCTTTTGGCGAATCCGGCACTGTACTCCCTCATGTTGTGGAAGCTGTCCTCAGTAAAATGCGCAGCACACAATAGCAAATTGGGGTTATAATGCTCAGGAACAGAGTTAAAAAATAAATTGCAACCACTGTTTCCTGACATCATCCGCTTTCGGAAGCCCAAACAAAGACGTTTGGGCACGGAGGTGAAAAAAACAGCGTTTCAGGCGGTCACACACCGGACTAGAAGCGCAGTGTCGCGTTGCGCCACATCTTTAAAATTCAAATACATTATTTTCTATGAGTGTAGGCACACCGGCGGCGCCGTTCGGCGTCTGTCCGCGGCGCCCAGCTACGTCGTGTTATGCTTGTAAGAATTGTTCTAGACATGCCAAAAATTTGACGCTACAGCACAGCAGCTCTTCTTCTTGGTTTTCTCTGATGCACTAACTCTGCAGCAGCACTTCTTCTTCATCGTCTCGTCTGATGCGCTCACTCAACCAAGCGTTCTACCCACAACCTCGCCCCTCCCCACCCCCCAACCATTCGAATTTCTGTAGGCGGGAATTATTTTTAATGATATTCCAATGAGCCGCTTTGTGATATCACAAATCCCGGAAACCAACACTGTAGTCCAAACGAGCCGTTCGTTGTAGTTCTTGAAAAGGGATTTTTTAAAAACGAAATATCTCCCTTTGGAGTGGCCTTTGAGATTTGTAACTTTCTAGATCTTTTTAATGCCCAAACATACACACTACACACTGACTAAAATTAAAAAAAGTGAAAAAGCATAATAGGACCCCTTAAAATAAAATATGTGGTGGTGATTTTTTTTCACCCCAAAATAACAAAGAAAGATTATATCTTTCTTGATTTTTGCATTGTAACATTGTTCATTAAAATGAATGCATAATACAGTAACGAAAATCATCCTTTCTAGGCACAATTTTAAAATTAAATTCAGTACAACAATTACTACCATGATACATACCACAGTTAATTCAGTTAACTAAAACTATAAAAATATCTTCATTACTTGAAATCAAATAAACATGAAAAAGTATAAAAAAAAAAACGTTTTTCAGGTAGTTGCCAACTTTTCTCATTTTTATTTATATTACATTGATGTGCTAAAATAGCTAAAACTGAAATTAAATTAATAAAAACTATATAGACATGTTTAAAAAAAACATAAGAAATATAACATAACTAACACAAAAACTTTAAAAATAAATTGAAATGGGAAAAATAAAAACAAATATTTCAAAATAATAATAAAAACTATAATAGTATCTCAAATAACACTGATGCAAACTTACAATTCTATTCTACCTATAAAATGTTATTAATCATATTATTTATAATTTCTATTCTCAATAATATTTGTATTATTAACATTATTTCATATTTTCTGTATTTTAAAGCGCCTCTGTTACGATATTTAAATATCAAATAAAACAATGTCATATTGGGAAAAAAAAATCTTTAAAATAGGTCTGATTGTCTTTAAGCAGAGGATAATTGTTTTCTTTTGATTTTTGGGTGAGATATGATATAACCAGATATTTTTCACGAGATTATGTTTATAAGCCACGTTTCTTGGAAAAGCCAGTTTCATTCAAGCTTTGATTTTACAATTATGTATGTATTATTATGGTGGTTATTATGATTATGTTTTTTTTTTTAGAGAACAATGTTAACATTATGTCAGTTCAGTCAGGACCACTTTTGAAAATACATTTATTGGCAATTCTTGAATTTGGCGAAACTTAGGCTTTAAGGGGTTCGCTGCCATATTAGACAGTTTAAGATACATCCTTAAAGTCCCCATGAAATCAAAATTTTTTGGAAAAAAAAAGTTATTTGGGTGTTAGTATCAATATGTTAGTCTTAAGGTTATCTATAAGGCTGTGTGCTCCAAAACAGTGACAAAATTCGCATTTAGAAGATATAAACATTCAAAGCTTGCAGTTCGTCACTTCCGCCAAAACGGCTCAACGATTTTTTTGACGTCACATCGTACTTCAGCTTCTCATCAAACTTTCTGTCCAATCAAATGCTCTCTAGAATCTGAAGCGCCCACCCCCTACACTATAAAATAGACCCTGAAGCTGCGGCTGAAATCGGTCACAGAATTAGTATTTTCTGTACAGTGAGTGGCACGTAGTGCACTATATAGGGGACAGGGAACGATTCAAACAGTGTAAATATGCTTTCCATTGAGGAAAAAAAGAAGTCTGGTTTGGCGCTGTGTCACTCTAACCACCGCACCGCACACACACTCTGCTCCGGTCCAGAGACACGATAGCACGGAGCGGATCACATCGGCGCAGACCACAAAATGTATCGGAGCTATTTGAATTCTACACAGAATGCTATATTTTATAGCAATATGGATGAGATTGTGGCTGGCATACCCTGTCAAATGCGGCTTTACGGAGCTCAACGGCTCGGAAACGGCTCTAGCTGTGATATAAACGAACGCTATTGGCTATTTTAAAAAGGGGCGGGGCTGCTTGATATGTCCCGCCCTGTCTTCCTGTTTCAGTTAAAATTACGTCAACACAGAGTAACGCTGTGTGTTTCTAAGCATTTCAGGGGACCTTTAAGGCATGAATCCCCCAGCCTGGCAATAAACAAATATTTATTTGCTTATACACATATGCAGAAATACGATTACGAAATAAAAGAGTGACGAGAATTCACAGAATAGTTCTACAGAATCCCAGCTGTTAAGGAGTTGCTGGGAGGTGGGTCCAAATGTCTGTGCGACAGTCTGAAGAACATGCGTTTGAATGGTCTTAAATACAGTTGTTGTTGGTCTGCCTGAACTATGCTTGAATTCCATTCGGTCACTCAAACTCCATTTATATTATATCATATAATGACATGATACCATCATATCAGTGAGAATTATTTACAGCGTATGAAGAGGTCACTCACTCTCGGCAGTGCTGAGTGAATCCGGGCTCACAGGTGCAGGACTGATCTCAGAACAGCCTCCGCTGAGGATCTGCTGAATCAGAGCAGGGCTGATCTGTGTGAACTGATCTCTGCTCAGCGATGAAGAGTTCAGCCGGTGAATCCTCAACAGGTCTTCAGCGCTGAAACAGGCCTGCGAGCGCAACATAACCCACACTGAGACATGCAAATGAACGGATGCATAAAACATATTTACGCATTAATATTTAATTTCACACCACAGCGCCGCCGCTGCTCTGATAATCAGGCGTGAAACACTCGTATTTTCTGTTTGCTGAATTATTAATTCCACGGATGTCAGACGACAGGTCTTATTTAGACGGCGTGTGAGCTTAAAGAAATTGGAAATATGCATCATGATTAAATATGAGCTGGATGTTCGTCTGCACATGTACTGCTTAATTTCACTGTGATTATGACTGCGGACAGATGAAACGTGTATGTCACAACATACATCAAGAGAAATAAACATTAGCGGCTGCCGCTGACACTTCATGTTACAGGCCTCGTAATTTCTTGCGCAGCCACATGATTGCTCTCTTCGTCAAGTGCCACGGCTAAATGATTGGATTTCTGTGGCGTGCAAAGATTTCCCATGATAAAACTATAGAATTGGTTTGTTTTTGTTAATTGTTTTTCAAATTTCAGCTTAGAGTCAAAAATCACACCACGATTCCTCACCTGAGTGGAGGCTAAAGGCCCAAGATGTAGTGAAAGATTTGTTAATTATTCTATATTAAATAATTCAATATATGAACTCAAAATCTCAGGGGGACTTCAAGAAAATCTTGTAGGTTAAAGTGGTTTGGCTGACAAAAAAAAAAAAAGTTCAGAATCGTAGGGTTACCGTGTCCCAGCTGCTGTTGGTCCGATGAGCATCCACATCACTGTGGCTGTTTCTGCTGTGCTGCTTTTCAGCATCATGGTCATGTTTCCCTCCACCCAGGTTTAAAGCCTTCAGAAGCCCTCAAAATCTGAGGAGGATAACAGCATTAAAAACAAAACATGATCACAATGGTTCATTATTAGTGTGAAGTGAAGTGACGTGACGTGGCCAAGTATGGTGACCTATACTTGGAATTAGTGCTCTGCATTTAACCCATCCAAAGTGCACACACACAGCAGTGAACACACACACACCGTGAACACACACCCGGAGCAGTGGGCAGCCATTTTTGCTGCGGCGCCCGGGGAGCAGTTGGGGGTTCGGTGTCTTGCTCAAGGGCACCTCAGTCGTGGTATTGAAGGTGGGAGAGAGCGCGCTGTACATTCACTCCCCCCACCTACAATCCCTGCTGGTACGAGACTCGAACCCGCAACCTTTGGGTTACAAGTCCGACTCTCTAACCATTAGGCCACGACTTCCCCCACTAAAGGAAATATTATTAATACTGATGGAGAACATTAAAACCACATGACTGTTTTTTCTTGTGTTGGCCAATTTTCTGTTGAAGGAAGGAAAGTTTAGACCAGGACATATCATAGAGCTCTGACTTTCTAAACAGCCAATAGCTATTCAGAATCAGAATCAGAATCAGAATGAGCTTTATTGCCAGGTATGTTTACACATACAAGGAATTTGTTTTCATGACAGAAGCTTCCACAGTGTAACAGAATGAGTTGGTTCACATCACAGCTCTGAAAAGCCACATGTGATAAAACAAAGACAAAATACTTTCTAATTTTAATAATAATTTAATAACTTTTCAATAGCAATTTCAGCCATTAATTTATGCTTGGGAAAGAAAATGAAGAATGAGAGTTAGCACAACCAAAGACACACCACTGAACCCTGATCTACTACTCACAAATAAAATAAAATTATTAATATTTTGAATGAGTTTTTATTGTTGTATTTTCATTTTCATTTTAGTAAATTTGTTGTGTTTTGTCATTTGTATTAGCTTTTTTAATATTCCCATTTATTTTTCAGTTTTAGTTTCTGTAATTGTAGTACTTCAGCTTATACTTAATTTCAGTTATTTGCAAGGTTATTACCGTTAACTAAAATGAAAAAACTTAAACCACTAAAAAAATTATAATAATAATTTCTTAAAATAAAATGAAAGAAAAATTTAAATAAAATATAAAACACCCTCACATTTATTTACATCAGTTGCCATTTAAGGCAACGTGAGGTTGAAGTATTAAAATAACTCAAATTTAAACCGAGACAAAATTTATTTAAAAATATATAGACTTTTTTATATAGAAAAGAAAAGAAAAAAAACCTTCAATTAAAATTAAAATGAAAACTGAAAATATAAAAATAAAAACTACTTTGAAATAATAAAAAAACTATAATAGTATGTTAGGTTAAAGAAGATAACAACACTGAGCCTGAGGAAAGTTTCTGGAAATGTATTGCTCAAAAGATATTCTGCTGTAGGATTATCAGACAGTCATACCATGAAGCGTGAGACTGTCAGAGCCGAAATGGCTGAAGATGTAATCCAGGAAGTATTGCTGCTCAGGAAGGTCATGTGCTTTCATGCAGTCTCCGCGCAGGGCGTGATAGAGGACGTTTCCCATCACCGAGTCCAGCTCTGTGTGCGTGTGATCGCCGTGCTGATGGCTGCTCCCTTCCAAGATGTCCTTCATAGTGAGACAGGGCTAAAAAAACAGATAAACACGAGACAGATGTGGCCGACAGTGTGAAACGTCTATCATGTGTCAGTTTGCATTGCATCTTGAGAGGCTTGCTGTCATTCTCAATGACAAAAGTCAAGCAGCAATTAACCTTTTCATGGTTTTACTTTACAGATAACCGTGAGCATTCACAAAACAACATAAAAATAACTAACCCTCCTGTTGTGCTCAAAAACCGAGTACAACTTTTGACACACATTGATTCCATACAATTTGCCAAAAATGTACAATATGAAAAACTCTATAGAGACTCATGTACAAACAGAAAACCTGTATTGTAGCTTGTCAGAGACTAAAAAATATAAAATAAGTGAGAAATTGAATAATTACTAAATAAAGGTTTTCTGTTTTTAATGTTTTTCAAAGTGTTGATATCATTAACTAAAGCTAAAAAAAAAGTTACTTTAAAATAAAAAAGAAAAATAAATATAAAAGCTACAAAATAAAGGTTTTCTGTTTTTAGTGTCTTTAGCGTTTTTTAAAGTCTTGATATAATTAACTAATTAAAAAAAAAAAAAGTCAGTTAGTTGCCAATAAATGCACATTTCTAATTTTCAGTTTAAGAACTAAAACAACTGAAATAAACATGAATAAAATCTATATAAATATATTAAAAAAATGAATACAGATGATCTAAACAAACAACAAAATTACTAAAACTTTAACATTTTCAAAATTAGCTGCACAAACACAAAATTGACAGATGTTTCGACTGTGAAACTCAACTAGATAAAGAAACAGTGAATTTTCCTCGGATGATTCAGAAGATGAGTCTCAATTTCATGTAAACTGAGTTTTTCTCATGTATTTCATATCTTAGTCTTTTTCTGTTTTTTAGTGTCTAGCGTTTTTCAACGTGTTGAAACTTTGCATGCACATTCATGACCCTAAATGAGAAAAAACATCACCAAATTGTAAGACGAAATAAAGAGTTTAACCAATATTTCAAGCAGCTTGAAAAACAGGTGTAGGTGAAATGAACCCGAACACAATGGGAGGGCTAACAAAATAAAATGTTATCTTTAGAACTAATGAGTTAATTGTGCTGACCTCATGCGTGTCAGGCTGATAGTATTTCTCCATCTCGTTAAACATCTTCTCCAAACCCTGATTTCCAGTGATGTCTCCATGAGGAGGATGATCGGTGGTGCTGTTATAGTCGTGGTTGTGGCCATAGATCATTTCGATGAAGTGTTCGGTCTCTACGCCCCAGCGGCCGTCCTGTATGGCCCTGCAGGTCTCCAGCGGAGCGCTGAGGAACAAAGAGCAGCCAGGAGCCACGCTGAAGAAATCCTCCATCTGAAGCCCCTGTGAGCTGCTGTAGTTACTCAACAGCTGGGAGAGATGATCCACTGAAAGACACTATAGACAGGAGAGAGAAACACTGAGCGGACAATAATGAAATGAAGATAGAGTCGATTAAATGAGAGACTATAAATGCTGTATTTAATGCAGCTGTTTTGTATAAAAGCAAAGACACTACAGGTCAATTTCAGGCTATTTTGCTTCTATAACGTCTTCTTTCAGACTAGTGGAAAAAAATCTATGCATTTCAGTGTTTATTTTATTACACTTTATCAATGTGCATCTGTTTCAATTACAAAACATATTTTTAAAGTCCATATGATTTTTTCTCTTGTGCTGAGCCAGAAATCTCCACTTCAGCAGCACTTAAAATGTAAAAAAAATGTCTTTCTGCTTCAAAATTTTGCGTTTAATTCAATGTGTCAATTGCTGTGTCTTTGTAATTAATTGCAAAATGTACTTGCAATTTCTGAGTGAAAATTGTTTATACAAATTTACTATTGCTTCTAAGTTTGCATCTTCATTCCTATCTATATTCTCAAGGTTTTTACAGAGGGCTTTGTTTGTATATCATTTACCTGATTGATTATACATACATATATATATATATATATATATATACAACCAGAAAAAAAGAAAACATTTCCACCATGTTTTTAGGAATAAAATGTAATTAT